GGGGAGGGGAGGGAGAGGAGGGCGTGAGACGGGCGAAGGGCCATCGCGCCACACTGACAAGTCCTCGGCTCACACACGTGCACGTGGATTAGAGATCACAGCCCGGTGATCGGGTCACAATCACASACACTGAGGGCTCAATCCACAACTATGGATGAAATCACACAACTCTCAGCCTCTGGAAGCAGCAACAAATAACCAAAAATACGTCCCTCTGAGGTCAAACACACATGCTGATTAATACTTCAAAGGCAGCAATAACTCTTGACATGTCATACATTACACAAACATACCTATTATTCATGTAAATAAATCTATATAAATACTTATAAGCATTTATCATAAGAAATTTTCCCCACTGACGTTAAAACCAAACACAAAAAGACATTTACATCCATCCAACGGAAACAACCATCCCATCTCTAGTCCGTTTATAGAGGCTGTGAATCACATCAGAAAGAATCCTGCGTAAAAACTGGTCGAACCACAAAACTTCAACTGTGTGCCTTTTAAAACCCCGGAAAGTGTAAGATGAAGATGAGGGATGAGAAAGTAAAAAGGGATGAGGAGGTTTTATGCTTGAAAAATTTCAAAACCACAAAGACAGAGAAAGAAAGGGGGGAAAAAAAGAGTCAAAGTGCACAGCAGCATCCCAAAAAAAAAAAAAGACATCAAAAAATAAGGGAGGGTTTGGTGTGTAAGCGAATGTTTGATGGCTGAGGGTTGAATAGAGGAAAGGAAAGAGAAGGACCTGGATTCCAGGGCTAACAGAGTGCAACGGGAGGAAGGAAGGACGGTGGGTAGTACACGTGTGACAGTGACAGCAGCGGCATTCGAGCAGAGGGGCACCCTGGGAAGCAGGAGGACCAAGAAGACAAAGAACAAAGACATGTTAAAAAAGAAGAGGTGGGGAGGAGGGACAGCATTTAACTGCGCTAAAAGGACAGTGAAGAAATCCAGYAGCAGCAGGAGCAGACTAAAACCTGGTTATTTTCAGTTTTGTTTTTAGACAGAGTCCAATCAGACAACAGATCTGTGGAGCTTTGGATTTCTTACACATGCGGAGGTGGTGGGCACGTGGCAGTAGTAAGGGTGGAGTGTAAAATTGATTAAACATTGTGTTCATTTGTTCGCTGTTTGCATGCTGGGCAAACATGGACGGATTATGAAACAACGAGCTAAGACGTGTGAAAAATTCTTCTCCAGTAGAGAGAGCACGGTCAGAAAC